GCATATTTAATAGTTTTTAAGTGCATTAAATTCACAGCCCTGATAATATATATATCATGCGTGAGCATGTACACGTTTTGTAAATTTATTTGATTACATTTCAGTGTACCTATAAATACTAAATCGATAATCATATTTATGGATTGTACAATAAATAATAATTAATATGTAGGCAAGTACAACCTGTTGCACAACTATAAAATATATTGAAGTGATTCATTGATTTGTACGAGTATGCATCACTACAGCAGGTGATCAAATTCAAATATTTCCATTGCAAATGTGGCGGAATATTTATTAGCTTATATGAAATCATAAATAAACAAATACACGAACGTGTTTAAGCATTATTATAAGAATCGTGATTGATTAAATATTTTTATTTTGTCATACTATAGAGGTCAAGCATAGATTTGGAGTCTAGACTGCTGCATATGTCGAAATCGAGTTAAATGCAACGAAAAAATATACGTATCAATATTATAGATTTATGACTAACAATATTGGCTGATTTATAAAATTACGAAAATTTGTCAGATCAAGCTGAAGTCGATACATTGTACAATATTATCATATACAGGTATAATACAAATAATGTACAAATAGTATGAATAATGTGGGCAAAACGGTGTGCCGAATTTAGTTCAAAATATCTGGGTATGATATTACTTTTTTAATCGTTATTGTAATCTGACAATTTATATAGGTAGATATATTTTTGGCACAATATATTATAATATTATAATCAATTTAAATTCCAGAATAGATATAGTTATGATTATATTATATTATGAAGTATATGAACGTATATAATAAGCTAGTTATTTAATATTTTGTTGTGTAAATGTGTATATAAAATATGATAATTGGAATATTTGTGAGGCGACAAAATTAATCGAAAACGATTTAAAGCTATTTTATTCGACAGGCGCGCAAGACTAGATCGGCATAAAAAAAAACTCTCTTGGAAATAATAATAAAAATAATAATGATCAATGGGACCTATAATATATATATAACGCGATGGCGCCGGAACTTAAGAACTACGTGAAAGCAATGATGTTATTGACAAATGAAAATTTTCGATTAAAATACGCATCAAAGCGTTAATAAAAAATTGGAATTATGATTTCATATCCGTCAATATTAGGCTCACCGATGATGAAACGATAAAGAAAATATACATCATCTGCCGACCGAGTGATCGTACCCGACTTGCGCAACACGCGAAGACATCGCGAATTTTTGTTTCCTTTTAAACGTCATTCGTCTCGGTACTATCCGGTCCAGAACGCTGTGTATATATATATTCACATGTTCATATATTATATATATATATATGAATATACACTTCATACATATATAGGCATACCTATACAGCTTATGATTTCGTTACAAAAACTACGTGTAATACCTACCTACGCGATATCAAAACACAATGCAAAAATCGTCGGTACCTACATATGGTTATGTAAAGGTAAAAAAAAATGTAATCCTGTCCCGCTGTGTGACTAAAACGTCAAAAACGGAAAAGGAATAAGAGAACACACGCATTGCAACAATGACCATAACGACGACGTGGTATATCGCATAATCTTGAACATTCCTATTATTTCACACGTTAATTATATACAATTATACATGTCCACTGATTATTATTTATTGTTATATCATAAACATCGCTTTTAGCGTCGAAGACGATAACCATACGTAATCACATTCTTTGAACACCGCATATGAGTGGAGATTAATATATAGAAATAGTACCTCTATACCTAGGTATTATTTATTGTTATTTGTTATTATTCGAAAGATTTTAACGCTCGCTTCGTTCTTAATAATTATTTAGTAGTAGTCGTTGTTTTCGAATTAGTTCATTGCTACGGGGTTTTCGTATAAAACATAAAGAGTAGAGACATTATATTATATTTGTTAATGCGTTCAACATTAAAGGTCATGTGAATTTTTCTAATGCTTATATTATAAACTATAAGCTTCTGCATAAGTATTACACAAAACTACAATGAAAATAATATTTCGCACGTTTTTTAGGATTAAAGGCTGCACTCGGGTCAAGGTGTATTAAAAATATAATTGTGACAAAACCACTGAGTCGTATTTTAAAAAATTAACTTTAATATAACGTAACTGTCACTTCACGTAACAGAAAATGTGAGGTTAAACGAAATCGAACGTTAAGTGCTAATAAATTATTTGGAATTATGAAAGATGCAAAGCACATTGCACAATCATAGAAACCATATTAAAAATCCATTTTGAGAAATTGTTGCATACCAATATATACAATGAAATGTTAAAAATAAATAGAAACATATAGTAATGTACTAATGTATATAATAGGGGTACCTACTTATGAATCCTAAAAATATTTTATTTCACGTTGATGGTATTATATACAAGTTTAGAGTTTCCTCGAGTTTTATGTTTAGGTATATTTTGAATGAAACGTAATGAATCCAAGTATAGGTACTACAATAACAAAATGATTTTAAAATATTTTTATCTCCCCAAAATACAGACTCAATGAAAATACATTTTGGAAAATATCTAAATCCCTGCTTTTTCACATATAATACATAATCGATGGATATAATAAAATGAATATTTCATACGTGACACATTTTGAATGTGACAGAATATAGGCAAGTGAATATAATATGTAGTATGTATAATTTTGTTCGTCCTGACAATCCCCTGTGTTGTATAACTTGTAATACGTTCCTATCCTCTCTCAATATATATATATTTTTTATTTTTTTTGAGGCTTATTGGCTTATTCTAACAGATTTCTGAAGTATGAAATATATATGTACCTACGTGGCTACGTAGAAGTATATAATATGTTATTTACTATACATATATATATATATATATTATGAATGTACACGACCACGCATATACCTTTTTCCTCGCTTTATATAATAACTGAATCTCGATTGCAGCAGAGAAAAGAAGTCGTTGGGCATCTGCACTACAATTGTTAACAGGTGGTGGGACGTAGGTATTATAATAGCGACATGACGTATTATACCTATAGATTAATATTTAATCCGGTCGGTAAGAGTTTGTACAATATAGATATATCCTATACCTACTGCAACATCTAAGTATACAGCGCAGTATACACATTTAGGTAAAAACGAACAACGAGAAAATAACAAAAATGTCGTCTCTTATATACAAGTCTTGTACGAGTGACCAACTTAAAACACGTTCGTGTATGAACATTAAAACGAAGAAAAATATTCTATATACTTGAGAGGTAATCGAGGATTTTCCTGTTCCTCTAAGTTAAGAGAACGAAAATAAGAGTGAATTTTCCTAGGCTTATACTGTAGCGTTCGAACTTTGAGAGATAAAAGTTTTTCAGTGACCTCAGTTTTGTATTTACATGTATTTACGGGTACATTATTACTATAGAAGCAAAAAATATAATTATGAACCCACTTCGAGTAGTAATTTATAAGAAAAAAATTTCACCATGCCAGGTTTTACCATACAAAATTCGTACGCGAGTTTTAAATGGGATTTCACTTTTGGGTAGCTATTTTTATATCAATAATTATTCAAGTTTGGTATTTATTTTTTTAAATGACAAAATAGATTTTTAGTTTCACAATATCATCCGATGTAGAATCTTTTTCAGGTTTCGATACATATACCTAATTAATAAATATTAAACCAATACTTAATTTGTTAATAATTGTTTTGAGTTTTCAAATGAAATTAGTTTTAATTTAGTTCAGGTGAAATTTCGATGACATAAAAAAAAATGTTATTTTTTTATTAGGTACCTACGCAAGAAATTACCAGAAAAATTACTGTATCCTGATTTAAGATCAACCCCCATATTATTCGCGTATTAGTGTCAAATATATATTGTATAGACAGGTATTAATGAATTTAAGAGTTTAATTTAATTTTCATCGAGACCTGCAATATTATCGCTAGCATTATGATATCGAAGGCGTACAGCCGTACACCTAAGAGGTAACCTATAACTGATGATATACATATCAATTTCTTCTATATTACCTATATTAACTATATAGGTAGGTAAAATCTATGGTGTAATTTCGTAAAGTACATGCAATAGCTTTAATAATAAACAAATACTCACGGAATACACTCGGGAAAGACTTCGTCGATGGTCGTCGGGTCGTAAATGTCTACACGGGCGCGCGTAAAAAAAACGACAGTTTTACGTCGTTGTGTTTCGAAATAATTATAATAATAATGTGTTATATCCGACGGGTGACCGACAGCGAACAACTCGAGCGGCGGAAGTGCGCGAGCGTATTGAGACGATTGCGCGCGGAATGACCGTCGCGGGACACCGGAGAACGCGTTTTGGGAGTGCTTGGTGGCAGTGGCGTCGGTGGTCGCGTCGCCCGTCCGTAGACCGGCGGCAAGAACGGCCACCGGGGTGGGGTGGTGAGAGGTCCGCTCGGTGGTAGGCCGCCGAAAGGAAAAGTGAAGAGACGTGTCGGCGGCGGCGGCGGGTGAGCGCGTGCGTGTCGTTGGCATTGGTGGCTCCAAGGTCGCGGCGGCGGAGGCAGTACACAACACGTTTTCCACTTACTAAGGTATGAGAGAAAAAAAACAGCCCTTTTTTCATAAAAGACTATTTTTTTTTATTAGACAACGCTCGCTGCCGCTGGAATTCTTCGGCCGAGACTATTTAAATAAAATATATCGTCGTCGTCGTTGTTGTTGTTGCTGTAAGAAGTTCAAGTCCAGATTTACGGTGGTGTAGACTGTAGACATGTAAAGTGATATGCGCCTTGAGAGTTAAAAACGTTTCAATATGCTATAAATATAAGTTAACAACACATCATGCGTACCTATGATGCATTAAGAAGTTCAAATGTGCACCGAATAAATTATCTCAGAATAAACAACTTATCTATATGAATACAATATATTATTATGTTTACATTTATAAACCAATAAGACAACTTAAAATGGTGTACGTATAATATTATTCAAAGTGTTTTATTAAAATGTTTATGGTATTATATTATGTATTGTATACTTATAGCTGTATACTTACGTATTTGGAATAATTTTTTCCCGAACATTTCAATTTAAATGGCAGTTCATTCTTTGAGTATTATAAATCTATACGAAAAAAATAAAATTCAATTAGATAGAAGTTGTGATTAATATCACGTTTGTCCACAAATTCCAATCAATGTTTATAGGTTTTGACGATGTTGTGTACACAATACGACGAGAAATATCCTGAAAACTCACTCAATACTGGTGTCGAAATATGATGCTTGGAAAATAAAATTCTTATATTATTAGTCGAAACCGAGCTCATCCGGGGTCAACTACACTTTTGGTATCTCCATCATCTGCCCGATGTGGGTTCCACGCTGTCCGCCGGGATGAGGCCCGTGTCGTCCTCTTGCAGACTACATCATAGTAATATAAAATTATGTAATAACGTCACAGCGCTGTCTTTTCCATATTAAATTTATTACGATTTATTATCGTCGCAACGTCGCGTAGTAAATACGCATTGTCATTCATCACTAGAACGTTTTTGGCAAGCTCTCGGCCGACGACCGTTTGAATTCTTTTCGTTCTATCTATCACCCGATCTCTCCCCACCCTATCCTATGTAGGTAATATTCGTATACACACTCATGTCAAAGTTATGCCGCACACGCAATCGACGAATGGCGCGACGATAACGTCGTTATTTAGTTATAATATTATATAATGATAATAATATGGCGTCGATTAAAAATATAATATAATTATAATTATATTGTGAAAAAAAATCAATACGCATCATTCACTTAATTGGGCTGTAGGTAAAGAACATATTTTGTGACGAAGACGACCATATGACACGACGGGCGCAACGTCCGCGATTGTTCCGCCTTCGAAAATACGCGATATTCGCGTGGGTACGAATAATTATTGTCGTGGGCAGAAGTGTATTATAATATTATTATTATTATAGGACGTTATAATACGTCGCGTATTTTGATCGGCGGATTAGTCGGTTACGCCTATAATAATACATTAATACAATATTATAAAATCACTATCGTTTTTCGCGCCGTTATAACATCGATATTATAATATTATTTCAATCGAATTTTTATTGAAAAATTTCACTTTTTTTGCACCGGACAATGTTGTCGATTTTTTTTTTTTTTGGTCAATCTGCGGCGTAACACAGAATAATGTATATTATCATTATACATAATGTCAACGTTATTCGTTGATGTTTTTTTTATATGAGCTAACTGATTAAGAACGTACTGAACGTAGATATCGTGGGCACCTACCTATCTGTATAAATATAATTTGTATTTTACAATAATGTTACAATGTCTTGCCGATGACGTGTTTTTCCATCATACACTTTTTCGGATAGCTCTGATAACGATTTTTGACTTTTTACAGACGTCTTTATTTCGAATTGCTTCGGATAATTGCGGCTCCAACAGATTTACATGTGTCGAGTATTCAACACTCTCGTTATTCGTTCTTCTTAGTTTTTTTACACATTACTTAACACACCAAATTTTTTCCTAAAATTGGTAGGGGTACCTAAATAAAATATTGATATTAATCGATCAAACAACAAGTATCGAAACACGACCAACTCTTTTTAATTTAAAAAAAAAAAAAAATTGCCCAAGTGAACATAATAATGACCGTAAAGTCATCGGTGCTGACAAAAGTTGCGTAGAACAATACAATTTATTGTTGTAGACCGTTTTCAGATGACGATTTTCAGACTTTCAGTGTTGCAAATCTAGAGTGATCATGGGGTGAGTCGTGTTGATGGTGGGCAGACGATTTTTAATCATCCAAGAAATTATAATGTAGCACCTACAATAAAAGAATATATATGCAGTAAACTACTCCAAGCTTAGGTACGTTTTAAATCAACAAGTGATGGTCACGGTGGGGAGGTTAAAACTCGTGTTTTGCACCCACTGATCAAATAATAAGTGATGTTATAAGTAATTTTTTTTTAAGTTATATGTACCTACCATAACTATATTAAACACAACACACCATTCTATATCGCTATATATATATATATGATGTACTTTTCGTGTGTGGTTTCTGGGTTTCCTTCGATGTGCATCACACAGCGCCCATTATAATATATTCTAACTAAAAATAAACAATTTTACGATCAAAGTCAACAGGCAACAACAGAATATATTAGATTATTATAAATTATAATATTATGTAGAAACCAAAGATGGTACTATAAACCATTACTGGGCACGACGTATATGTAATTACTTATTATATTATACACGTGCAGTATACGAAATTAAAATATTACGATACGAATAGTGCCTATGTATAAACCTACCTATTCTATAAATATATACAACACGTAAATAATAGTGCTGTAGTCCACATCAATTATCCAACGTGTTAGGAACAATAATCCGACCTTGTATAACCTGATGGATGATGTTATGCAGAGAACTAATAATTTTAGGAAATCGATTTTTTTTTCCCCCAGTAGGTACTCAAGCCACACCACATTACAGCTGCACCGACGTGATGATATAGCCAATAGCTACAATTTTAATATAAAAATAAAAGGGAGATGATACCAACTATACAGTAAATATAATAAGAATAACACTAAAAATAATAATAATTATATTTTAATAGGATGCAACTGTTTATTATAAGTATAAAACGAGTATATAAGCGTTTCGTGTTGGTATTGCATCAAAAACACACTAATTATGTGGCGTTTTAGCGTTTATATATTATGTTTATTATAATTTATTAAGCATTTTGAGATGTGGACATTAAAATATACGTTATTCTCTTTGATATCTAATTAGCTAGGTAGCATAATAATATGCATTATGCACATAATAAAATATAATATCCGAGCAACCTACGTGTTTTATTAGTTCTTGGCTGATGATTTCAATAAATTGTATACATTTTTTCCTTCATACATTTTTTACCAAACCCGTCTAGCTTAAACTATGTATATATATATTATATTATACATATACCACATATAAGTAATTACAACAGTTATTAATTCCAGAAGAAGAGAAATCGAGATCCGTTACGTCGAGTAACGAAAAACCGACATCTTGGACAATAATTATATTATCTCAACACGATGAAAAATATTGTAATCGATACGGCGTTATTACAAATTTAAATATCTACGGTCGGATCTTTAAAAAAATATTTTTATATACGTGCAACATCTACCCTCTTTAATTGCAGCAGTCTACTGCAGAGAATGAATTATTAGGGGAGAAAACAGGTTTAACCCTCGTGAGTTGAGACCAACCGGGAAAACTTGTATAGGGCATCATAATATTATTTAATAGACTAAAATGTGATTACATAATACAAATCGCTGCGGTACAAAAAAAAAAAAAAAAGGTTAAACTGATTTATTAACTGAACATGGTATAACAGAACATTTATTCATCTTTTAAAATATTTAACTCGAAACGTATTGAAAAACAAAAATGTTGGTAACTTCGTATAGGTACCATCTGCATAAATGCAAATACCTATACAATTTATTACTTAGTTTCGATTACTTACGAGTTACGAATAACCTATACGTTAGACTAAAAATAAATAATATGATGAAACGATCACATTATAATAATGTTAAGGACAATTGAAATTAATACTATATATTGTGATTATATACGTCATCGCGATCTGTTTCGTTGTAAAATATTATGACGTATTTATGAAGAAGAGGGAGATATGAATAAAAGAAAAGGCAAACCAACGATATTACTAATGGATGTTATTATTATTATTTTTTTTTTATAATCATATTTAAATAAATTATCGTTCTCTGTGAGCCGGATATACCTAACCTAACATAATATAGATATTAATAAAGTCACCGACTCAGAAGGTCACATTGTCGATGGACGGGTACGTTTAAACCGTGTTATTATATTAAAATTTGAAAGCTGCTATAGATTATGAATCATTATTGTATTTCACATTCAATAATCGATATAATGGATCTAAATTTAATTTTTGGTATATATATTTACTGGAGAATAAATTATAACTTATAAGACTCGTGTTAAACGATTAATTGTGTACCTAAATTTATAATTTAAAACCATTATTCACATTATTATTTTATTTGTAAAATGTACCAAAAGACGTCTCACGATAAAAAAGCATCGCGATCCAAATGAAACAAATTAACTTTCGAAATATCTATAAATCAACCCATAAAAATGTGGATGATTATATATATTATATAATATTACAAGAATTAACTGTTTAATACTCAATCATATCATTATGCATATAAGATGTTTATTGAATCTATTGTTATCT